ACTGGTGCTTTAGAATCGACGATTAGCAGTCAGAGATCTTACTGGCAACGTTGAAATATCGGAAGGATCTGACCATCAAACCATTTTGAAAGATTTTAAAGAATAAATTAGGAATTTTAAAATTCTGAACAAAGTTTTACACATTTTTCTCATAGTATTATATTATATACATCTATAATATGGAACTGTTACAGAACTGAATTATTCTTATAATTTCTTGTACTGAATTTAACTGAATAACATTGTTGTCGCTTTGAGCTGTAAATTTTATAAAAAAAAACAAGTAAGGAAGGGCCAAGTTCGGGTGTAACCGAACATTTTATACTCTCGCATGACAAGTTTCATCAAGATATCTCAATTTTTACTCCGCTCACGGACGCATAGACAGACATCCGGATTTCAACTCTACTCGTCGCCCTGATCACTTTGGTATATATAAGCCTACATCTGACTCTTTTAGTTTTAGGACTTACAAACAACAGTTATGTGAACAAAACTATAATACTCTCTTTAGCAACTTTGTTGCGAGAGTATAACGAGTAACTGTAAAGGTACAATCAACACCCACATCTCACCAAAAATATGTAGGCAGCACTTGACTTCCAGATACATATATAACCAACTCAAGTAGTCTAAATAGCCAAAACTCAAACGAAAACTCGTCTGGCAAGTTCTTGGTTTACTTAGAACTTGAATGCGAATGAAAGCTAAAAGTAACATGAAAAAAAGGTATGAAACTGAGAACTATTAAAACGGTATTATATACTGTTTTCATTATTGCTCGTTAAGGTTTTTGCAGAAGTTGAGTGGGTTGATGGGCGACTACGAACGAGTTTTCAATAATACCAATAGGGACAGCAAATGACGCCGTATTTTTCCCCGATTTTTCGATATTTTTCTTTAGTAAGGTTTGCCATTACACCATGGAAAAAATATACTATTCAACAACGAGGCGAAACTATTAAAATTTACTACCTTAAATCGGAGTCAGTGGCCTCAACTCTAAGAACGCTACCTCCAATTTATGGTCGTCATAAACGTCAATTGAGCGTCTAGTTGGGTCCAGTGAGACAAAGAAGTGTCCATAGTGTCGAGAATGGTGCTGGCGCTAGCGCATCAATTGAGAAAGACACAAATCAGATACTATGTGGATATCGTTCTCAAGCATTGGGCATCTCTGTAACGTCGTTGTGGCGATCTTGCAAACAGATCTTGGCCTACATCGCTACAAGATCAAATTGACGCAAAAGTTGTAGCCGCTTGACCACTAACATCGTCGTATGCTCGTGAATTGGGCTGAGCAACAACTTGAAAATTATCCGGATTTTCATCAAAAATCATCATTAGCGATGAAACTCGTTTCTGACTGAACGGCTTGGTCATTAAAAAAACATATGCGTTATTGGTCAGGTAGCTATCCACACGAAATCCATTAGTCACCATGGCATCCCGAAAAAGTCATCGTTTAGTGCGGTTTATGGGCCGGCGGCGTTATTTAGCTGATCTTCTTCTGTGATGATCAAGACCGGCACGTTACTGTGAATGGGAATCGCTACCGCTAAATGCTAACCGAATATTTTTTTCCGAATTTGCTGATATGGACTTCGACAATATGTGGTTCCAAAAGGACGGCGCCAAAAGTCACACAGAAGTCATCACATTGGATTTATTGAAAACCAAGTTCGGTGGTCTTGGGGCTAAGTCTATGCCAACAAGCCAGCAACGATTGATGAACTTCGTACGAATATCGAGCGTGAAATTGCAGCAGTATCGGCCGATTTATGCTTGAAAACCGTCGAAAATTGGGTTCAGCGTCTGAACTTCTGCAAAAAGTGCTAGGTGCTAAAAAGGTGGTCATTCAAAAGGAATCGAGTTCCATACATAATGACATCGACTGTACTTTCACAGTAATAAAGAACTTCATTGTGCTACTTTTGTAGCGTCCCTATTGAAAAAACCGTTAGAAAGAAGCTTCAATGTTGGCTAACATCTTCTGCATAATTATTAAAAATTTTAGTATCACGAAAATGTTTGAAAATACAAGTTCATTGAAGTACCTCCAACTCCATTATTTGCAAAGTACTTAATACGAAATGGAGGTTGTCGAAGTGAGGCCAAGTATGTATTTATTTATATATGTGAATATTAATATATGCATGCTGTTAAACGCCATCACCTATATAGTTAACAAACATTGACTTTATTTACGTTTGAAGCTCTTTATGTAACTAATTACCGGCGTGGCTAGGTAAATACGTATAGAAAAAGCATGCATATACAAACTACGTTTGCTTGCGTATATATTTATGTATACATATACATAAATATGTATATATGTATATATGTACATATGTGAATATATATAACAAATATACTCCAAAAATTATGCTTAAAACCATATGGCTTTAAGTATTTGCCACAAAAACGATTCACTCACCTAAATAACAAACACGCTTACTTTACTCACACCCATTAGCACACACATAACAGTAATTGCCACATTCTGCTTTTGCATAATATATTCTAGGCATATTGAAAAACCTCAGTTCGAATGCTGTCTTAACTGAAGTGAGTAAAATGGAAAATGTGTAAAAATTTTCTGCGGCATTAAATTTCCTCGTTGTATTCGACCTTAATTTTGCTTACAGTGCGTATACGTAACTAGAGTTGCGGTTGACTGCAAAAAAGAGGAATAACAACAAAAAAGGGTGTACACGCACTCTAGGCCGCTTACACGACATCATTTACATACATACATATATATGTACATATGTGCATCTTATATATGTACCGGTATTATATCCAGAGCCAGCAGGCAGGCAATGAAATCCAAGACGCGACAAATATTAAATAGAAAAATAGAAATAAATATATTTTTATTAGCACAGTTGGGTAAATAGAAGTCTAATATACACATGTATGTAATGTTATGAGTGTGCGCCTTATTGCACATCATATATTTATTGTACTCACTTATATGTATATATGTATGTCTATATACTTATATATTCAGAGTAATGAGTTGTGTTTAACTTGCACTTCAAACCGCTTATGCTAGCAC